AAAAAAAAAATAGGAGCACCTTCTGATCAATAATCAAAAATTCTGATCAAAAATTAGCCTTCCTAATACGAGGTGACATTTGACTCCTTAAAGTGACTTACAGGAGTATTTTCTTTTTACCTTAGTAATGGCATCATTTTCATCTGTCAAATAAAAAAATGTATGTTTATAAGCTTTTTAAAATTTCTATTTAAAACAATATAATAAGTAGAATAAGACATAAGTTACCAATCATATGAAATTAGTATTAATAAGTTAATTTGTACTACAGAGGTAGCACAGAAGAACACAAAAGTGGCTTGTAGGTACATTTTCAGACGTTTAATGAGGCTCAGAGGTAGCATGAGTGCAATTAAATTAATAAATTAATGTGGAGATTAATGTTTTAAATATAACATTTTGAATACAGAACTGAAATTATACGCTAAAAATGAAACGAAATCCGCCAGCAGGTGGCGGCAAGTCACTGATTTTATCACTGAGTCATTCATTCAATTGATTCGTTCGAACGGCTGAATCATTCAGGAATGAAGCAAGTGACTCTCTTTATGAACTGACGGAAATCCGTCGTAGCGACGGAAGACTTTAATCCCTGCGATAAATCAATATTTATAAGATATATTTTGCTGTATTTTGATTTTTGGTATCTGGTAATAACCATTGTTGATTTGTATAAAATAATATAAATAATAGCAATAATAATAATATTAGGTATGTTTTGTACAGTATAGAAATTTGTAAATTGTGTCATATAGCAACATATCAATTTAATTTTGTGCAATCGAATGTGCGCTCATTAAATTGTAAGTAGTTAGTAGTATTAGTATTGATTAATACAAAAGTTAATATAATTTAAGAAGTTGATAAATATTTAAATGGTGTGTTCATATAAGTTCATATAATATTTTTAACCTTATTTGCATTCATTAAATTGTAACTCTTATAATTATATTATTATTGTAGATATTATCATTATATACTATTACATAAAAATAACAATGCTATTAGTATTTTTATTGAGAATGTAGTATATGCAAATATTTAATTTTTCAAATATTGAATAAAATGGTGTAAGTGGTCATTTTATTGGCATTCATTAAATTGTAACTAATATTGCATATAACGAATACTATTCTTTTTTCATTTGTAAATATATAGTATATTCAGATTTAAAAAAAATAAATAAATATTGAATTGATTGTGTAAAAGCTGATTTAATTTGTGTACATCCTATTTGCTATCATTAAGTGGTGATGACTTTAACAGTAATGTAACAGGAATTTAAGAGGACAATGTTTTTATTGCAATGGTCATCAGTAAAGCCTTCATTTTCTGTATGCAGAATAATCTTTATGTTGATGTTGAAATATGACCGGGCATGTTCTTGTTTTGATTTGTGAGGTTCACCCGCTGATGTTTGTGAGTCATCACATCACTCGCTGTCACTGGTGTGACTAGAGATTGATTAATCAGACACAGACGGTCCAGAACGCACACATGGTCACCGCCTGTTTGTTGCTCATTAGCTGATTCCTTCCACCCTGGATTTCTGTTAGTTTTATATCCTAATTGATGCCTTGGTTTGCTTTCATCTCTTTTTTTTTTGAGCTTCAGGATGCTATTAATCTATTTGAATACATGAAAACCATAATTTTCTCACCTTAATGTGTGTTATGAGCCATTTTAATTTATTACAGAAGGAGAAATTCAGAAAACTTTGGTGCCTATTAACTTTCATTGCAGCAATAGTTCAGCCTCTTAAACATGAGCTACACCGGCCACTTTATTTCTCAGTGTCCTTCGAAAAAAAAAAAAATTTATATATAAAATAAAATAAAAAATAAAACATTAAATTAAATATAATATAATGTTTTATCCATTATATATTTAAACAAACTGACCAATGCAGTAAATAAAAATCAGCTTGACATAAAATAAAGATGCTGAGTCAGGTTAATTTGGATGTTAAAGGGGTGGTTGATTGCGATTTCACTTTTTTTAACGTTAGTGTGTAATGTTGCTGTTTGAGCATAAACAATATCTGCAAAGTTACGAAGCTGAAACTTTAATCAGGATAAAACCGTATATTAAAAGCTAACATAAGCAGTAGCATTTACAAATAACAGCATATCTAAAAGTATGAGACAACAACAAACAAAAAACATAGGCCTACCATTAAAAGCCGTGCTTGCACAGGTTCTGCACGATCCTCTTCAATAATATCCTCTGCTTCTCAATCGGGCTCAAACTGATAAGCGATATTAACGACGCCGTTGTTTACAATACAACCGGAGCACATGCCGCTGAGGAGAGGGGCGGGACGTTTAGAGGCGGTTTAGCCAATCACAACACACTGGGCTAGCTAACCAATCAGAGCCCATCGCCTATTTCTGAGGGCAGGGCTTAAAAAAAAACAGGAAAAGATCAGCCCGTTTCTCAGAGAAGGGACAGAGTGGTGTGGAATAAAGGTAAGCTTTTTTTTTTTTATACCGAAGCATTAACACATGTTAGACTGCACCCCATAAACACAATCAAGCCTTGAAAAAAAACCAGTGAACCAGCCCTTTAAAGTGTGTTCTCCAGGATTGATGTGGCACATTTATTTTGTGTTAGGTTAGTCGGTTATGTCTGCATTCAGCTCTCAAGTCGCAGATCCCTGGCCAAGCATCCCAAACACTCTTGAATTAATTAAAAAAAAAAAAACACACACAAAGTTACAGGGCTGAGTAAACGATATTCTCACATTGGCTTTGATGGTACTCAACAGTGAAGTTTCTGTGAACTCTGCTGTTTCTGTATAAACTGAAAACAGAGTCTGTTTGCCGTTCATCAAAACATAATCATTTTTTTTTATTTTTTTTTTTTATTCCTGCTTGTTTTTTAAACCAAACCTGTAGCCAAAACTAGCTCTGAACCGAGACGGAAGGCCCTACCGAATCATTTCATTAGGTTTACTCAGATTTTAGTTAGTCGCGGCTTTGATGGTACTCAACAGTGAAGTTTCTGTGAACTCTGCTGTTTCTGTATAAACTGAAAACAGAGTCTGTTTGCCGTTCATCAAAACATAATCATTTTTTTAAATTTTTTTTTTTATTCCTGCTTGTTTTTTAAACCAAACCTGTAGCCAAAACTAGCTCTGAACCGAGACGGAAGGCCCTACCGAATCATTTCATTAGGTTTACTCAGATTTTAGTTAGTCGCTCATCAGCGTTTTTCACCTGATGCAGTTTCCTCAACAAATCCACAGTGAAGAAACCAAATGGCCATTAGTTTTGTTTCAGTTCTATAAATGTACAAGAGGTGTTTGATTATCCGTTTTTGCGTACTGTGTTTTTGGCGTGTGATCCATCGGCTAAAAGAAGCCCAGGCCTGTGTCTGCATTGAGCTAATAGTTCTGTTTCAGGAACACTGAATCATGCCTCTGTTTGTCCCTGTGTCCTTCCCTCTGAGCGAGAGAGATCAGAAGGGTGAAGCAGCAGGGGTGGAGAGAGGAAATGATCCACACTGAGCATAAATCTGTTTTTACTTCAGTTTGAGCTTCAGAATAAAACATCTACCCTTAAATGTGTATGAAAATGAGACTTGAATATTGCATATGTTGGCAGAACATGCATTGATCGGTGTTGCATAATAAGACCAGGAACATGCGTTTAGGGTCAATTTTGGCATCAGAGCTTTCTACTTTTTTGAAGCCGTGCATGTTGAATGTATGAAATAGATTTGTTTTAACTCCAGTTTGAGCTTAAAACATCTAAACTTAAGCATGCATGAAGATGAGTCATGAATAATGAATATTTAATGAAAGACAAACATTAATTGTCTTCGGCATGATATGCAATGATTAGTCTTGCACAATTTATAAGATCAAAAACATGCGTTTAGAAAGTTAATGTTGGTGTCAAAGCTTTCTACTTTGTTAAAGCTGTGCATGTTTAATGTATGAAGTAAATAATTGTCTTATCTTTCTTTCTTCCTTTCGGATATGCAGCGGACATTATCTCAACTGTTGAATTTAACTGTTCGGGGGAGTTATTAGCCACAGGAGACAAAGGGGGGAGAGTCGTCATATTTCAGCGAGAACAGGAGGTGATGCAACCCAAAGATTTTTATTGCATTTAATGTTTTAGGAAGTGTGATTCAAAGTGTTTACTTAAGTGTTCAATGTTTCTCTCCATAGAGTAAAAACCGCCTACTCTCAAGAGGGGAATACAACGTGTACAGCACCTTTCAGAGTCACGAGCCTGAGTTTGATTACTTGAAAAGTTTAGAAATCGAGGAGAAGATCAATAAAATCAGATGGCTCCCGCAACAGAATGCTGCACACTTTCTCCTTTCTGCAAACGGTATGAAGACAAAATTGTGATTTTTTTGCTTCTGTTTTTTGTACACCACCATTCAAATGTTTTATTGTGTTTTTGTTTTCTTTTTAAATTGATCAAAAGTGACAATAGGGACGTGTATATTGTTATAACAGATTTATATTTCAAAAAAACGTTTTCTTAAACTGTCCATTCATCAAAAAAATCCTGAAAAAAAGTTTCCACAAAAATTTACAATTGTAATATGTTTACAATATTTCTGTTTTTACTGCATTTGTACATCAGTCAAATGCAACCTTGGTGAACATTAGAGGCTTTCAAGAACAAAAAAAAAACTCCAAATTTATGAATGGTGGTGTATCTATAGCTGTTTCAAAATTATTTGAGCTGCCTACCTAGACAGACAATGACGTATTTTGTTCTGATTAAAGGAAAATGTGGGTGCTTTTTGGCTTCATTTCTTCTCACTAGGTTTTCGAAACGAGCTTAGAAACGAATGTTTAAAAAAACTTCCAAAATCACCTTCGATAAACGGCGAAAGTCAACAGGCTTTTCAAAATCCAAAATATGGCCAAACAGGCGCTTCTGCATCTAGTTTCAAAACTAAATCATCCGCGATCGTCTTGTAGCCGCGTTCAGTTTTTAATTGTAGTGTCTGTTCTTTTACTGAACTAAATGATTTTTATTACTATAAAAAATCAAAACGACGGTGGGGGTCGGTGCCGCGGTGGGCAAGTGACGTAACCGGTGTTGCGGCTTAACACCGGTATCACCGTCGGCACCGTCTATCGCGGCAAGCCTACTTTGGATATGCAATTTCTCTGTTACTGACTTGTTTTTTCTTTTTGTTTTGTTTCCTCAAAAAGATAAAACCATCAAACTATGGAAGATCAGCGAAAGGGACAAACGAGCAGAAGGATACAACCTTAAAGATGAAGACGGAAGACTGCGAGATCAGTTTCGAATCACAACACTACGGGTTAGTCTGCCGCTTCTCTTCTGATGACATTTTGAGTTGAGAGTGCAGCCAGTGAAGGTTAGCTGTGCACAGGTTTTTAGTTAATGAATATTTAATAAGATTTAAAGTCAGATGTTTCCAGAATTTGTAGTCTGTAGAGTGCATGCCATGTGATGTAAATGCACAGTATACACCCAGCTGTCAGTGGGGCAGGACTGCTTAATGCTATTTAAACCTGAGAGTGATGAAGAAACATGTACAGAAAGGGACGTGTTCCAGACAAGTCAAGACAAGGACGTTTTTGGAAAAACTATACAGCAGTGTACCATGATTTCATTGCAACCTTATATAGGTTTTATATTGCTTGTTATATTATATTATATATAAATACACACACAGTATATATTTAAGAAAAATGTTACATTTATATATGAAATATATTTATATATGATATAATTTATATGAATATAAATATATACATGTAAATATTTTCTAAATATATGCTGTATGTGTGTGTCTTTATATATACATAATAAATATACACAGTGCACACGCATATATTATGTAAATAAAAACTTTTATATTGGATGCGATTAATCGTTTGACAGCACCAATATATATATATATATATAAGGGGTGTAACGTCGCACGTATTCATATTGAAACGTTCGGTACACATTACAAACCAAACGATTCGGACAAATACTATTATATTTGGAAAATAAAAGAGATTAAAGTGTGTAAAATATAATGTTCTCATAAAATATAAGGCTCAACAAGGCAGTCCAAACGACGTGACCGGCAACGTGATATCTGCCCCTCCCACCTCCAAAGAAAAACACACTACTCCAGTCAGGCATACGCTGGATTATCTCGTTGCAATATGGCTAGTAACGTTAATGCAATTACCAGACCAGAAAAAGAGGATCCTCCAATAACCAACAGGTCTGGCGTTTGGGACCACTTTGGTTTCCCTGTAAGTTATGAGGGTGATGGCAAGAGAGTGGTGGATAAAAACAACGGTATGTCGCATCTGCTACACAACAATAAGCTACATCAGCGGCAATACTTCAAACATGCCAACTCATTTACGCCGACATCAACCCAGTGTGTCAATAACTGGAACTAGATGAAAACTAGAAACACACGCTACAAACTATCCCTGCAGCATTCAGGCAGGCATTTCCATCAGAATCAAACAGGGCAAAACAAATCACTGAGGCGATCAGTACTTTTATAGCCGCGGATATGAGACCTTACTCTTTAGTGGAAATGCGGGTTTTAAGAACATGCTTAATGTAATTGAGCCCCGTTGCACTATTCCTTCACGAGCCCATTTCAGCTAGACCGTAATTCCTGCTTTGTACAAAAAAACAAAAGCCCAAATAGAGAACCAGTTGACCGAAGCACCAGCGGTTGCTCTAACAACAGACAGCTGGACGTCAAGGGCTACACAAAGCTACCTGACTGTAACGGCACATTACCTTACTGCTGAACGGGAGATGAAAAGCCATGTTCTTCAGATACACGCCCCCTTGAGAGTCACACGAGTGAGTATTTGGCCAAAGGGATGACAGAAGCAGTGGAAATGTGGAAGCTGGAACGAGCTAATGTACCTATTCCTGTGACTACTGACAATGCCAGGAATATAGTTAATGCTGTTGGAGCTGCTGGACTTGGGCCACAAATAGGGTGCTTTGCCCATGTCATTAATCTAGCATCTCAGAAAGCAATGGCAGTGCAGCAGATCTCTCGCCTCCTAGCAAAGATCAGAAAGATTGTGACCTTCTTTCACTGAAGCACAACAGCGGCCCATGTGTTGAAGACAAAACAGGAGCGGCTGCAGCTTCCTATTCACAAACTCATCCAAGATATACCAACTAGATGGAATTCAAGCTACAATATGATTGAAAGATATCTTGAGCAGCAGACAGCAGTGTATTCTGCAATGACAGACGAAGCTGTGAAGAAAAATGTTAAAGACATTGTGACTTTGTCTGAAAATGACGTGTCATCACAGTTTTGAAACCCCTGAAAACTGAGTCCTCTCCATCTGCGTCCATGGTCCTGCCTATAAAAATTATGATCCTGAAATCCATAGTACTGTATGATGATGACAGCCCAGCAGTGAGGGATGTCAAAACAGCTATCAGAAATGACCTGCAGCAGAGATACACAGAACCTGGTCTTCAAGATTACCTGCACAAGAGCACCGCTTTGGATCCACGATTCAAGTCACTGCTACACTTGGATTCTACCACTGGCCTGAGAGTCTATGATCTTCTCACCACAGAGATTGTGAGCACTGAACAACAGGTACTATTTATATTTTGCTGCTTACTATATTTTTGATTAATTATTTGCATACTTATGTTTTTATCTCAATATTTTTTACACTGTGAGTACATCTTGATGTTGTGTTCTTTATAATCTGTTCTGTATTGTTGTATTCCATGTCCCTGTATATAACATTCCTATATGTGGTTAATACTAACCTTTTGTAGTGAGTTCCATGCTATGGGTTATGAGCATCTGCCTCACGACTCTTCAATCAGTCCCTGTCTTAGTAGAAACGAGTTTACACTTGATTACCAACACCTGGTCATTTTATTTTACTAGTGTAAGATTATTGTTGTTTATATTTCTCCAGGGCCAAGCCACAGGCACCACAGAGCCAGAGCCACCTCCATAGAGACTCAGACAGTGGACTTGGAACCCTCAACATCACCTCCACAAGAAAAGAAGTCGGCCATGACTGAGCTGTTTGGAGGACTGTTCATGACCCATGACTATGAGCCAAGCACCAAGTCTGTGGCCAAAATGGCAGAGGGGGAGATGCAATTGTTCGGGGGTAGTGGACTGTATTCCCTTGGATGCAGATCCACTGAAATGCTGGAAAGTCCATGAGCACTTATACCCTCATTTTGCCATGTTGGCACGGCGTTACCTGGCTGTGCCTGGAACATCTGTCCCTAGCGAGAGGGTGTTTTCCACTGCAGGTGACATTGTCACATCAAGCAGATCTGTGCTGTCTGAAGAAAATGTGGACACTCATCTTTCTGAAAAAATACAAACTTACAAATTGAGTAAAAACACACTGAGTTCCATATAAAACAAAATTGTTATTTTCTTTGTATTTGTTTATCACTACTACAATATTACATTTAATTTTTTTATAAGGAGCTATTTGGTTTTGGTTATAAGGAGGTTTTTGTTTTATATGCTGCTAAGAAGACACCTCAGAAGATGGGTAAAATATAGCTCCATCATTGTTCAAACTAAGTAAAAAAAAAAAAAAAAACTGTATTAGTTGGTAAATTGTTAATTTTTGTGGAAGTAAAAAAAAAAAAAAAAAAAGATCATACTTTATGATGTTAGTTTTAATAAATAAAAAAGTGTAAAAATCAAGGAAATTTCTCTGGCATTTCTTTCTTTTTGCTGTATCGAAAACATACCGAACCGTGACACCACTGTGTCGTACCGAACCGAACCGTGAATTTTGTGAACCGTTACACCCCTAATATATAATATAGGCTAATGTAACCTCATAGCAGTGTTCAGTGTTAGTGTCATGGTTCCTTTTACTAATGCTTAGCTATAGCCGTTGAGTTACTTGACTTAAAGGGTTAGTTCACCCAAAAATGAAAATTCGGTCATTAATTACTCACCCACATGTCGTTCCAAACCCGTAAGACCTCCGTTCATCTTCGGAACACAAATTAAGATATTTTTGATGGAATCCGAGAGCTCTCTGACCCTCCCATAGACAGCAAGGGTCCTTACACGATAAACGTCCAGAAACGTAGCAAGGAGATTGGTAAAATAATCCATGTGACATCAGGGGTTCAACCGTAATTTACGAAGCTACGAGAATACTTTTTGTGTGCAAAAGAAAAAAAACGAATGACTTTATTCAACTATTCGTCTCCTCCGCGTCACCCTAGCTCCATTTTGGAGAGTATCCACTGAACGCAAACAGCGTATGTTGTTCTGTGTCAGCCGCACCACACGGATATGTTGTTTTCGTTCAAATCAAAGCACAAACAACGTAGAAAACGTATCCGCGTGGCGCAACTGACACAGAACAGCATACGCTGTTTGCGTTCAGTGGATTCTCTCCGAAATGGAGCTAGGGTGACACGGAGGAGACGAATTGTTGAATGCATAAAAAATTTCTCAATTTGTGTTCCGAAGATGAACGGAGGTCTTACGGGTTTGGAACGACATGTGGGTGAGTAATTAATGACCGAATTTTCATTTTTGAGTGAACTAACCCTTTAAGGTTTTCTTCCAAACTGGGATTTCTGAGTTGATGAATAGCTACTAATTAAATCATAAAAATGTCAAATCAAAAATAAAAACAAAAGAATATGCTTACTAAAGATGTAATATTATATTTGTCCATTCCCATTAACCAACATCAGAGAACATGCAAATTTGTTAAATTATATAAATATTAACTTAAAATTTGAGAGGGGAGTTAAAGAAAATATTTCAGATCATTTCTTTTAATTGAAATATGTACTTTTTCTTGGCTTATTGTTTCATTAAGTAACTCTTTGGTTGTTTCGCAGGTTCCTGTGCTGATGCCGATGGACTTGATGGTGGAAGCAAGCCCACGCAGAATATTTGCTAACGCACATACATATCACATCAATTCCATTTCAGTAAATAGTGATTATGAAACATACCTTTCTGCAGACGACCTCAGAATAAACCTCTGGCATTTAGAAATCACAGATAGAAGTTTTAGTATCCTTTACGCAATCAGTGACGTTCAATTTTTTTTCCCTCTATTTTATTGAAATGTGCCTGATCTGAATGAATGTCTATACTATAATTTTCATAACCCATATTCCACATGCCTGTTTTTATTTATGCATTTTTTTTTGATGTACCTTTTAAGACTTCTATGTAAACATTCTCTGTGCGTGTGAAATTAAGTAATTTAGTTGCGTCTATATGGTCTAATATATTCATCTTTTAGACTGCAATAGGTTCACAATACAGTATGTCCCCTTGAACAATTGTATTTTACTGTAAAACATACACATTTTTAGTATGTGTGGATTAAGACATTGGCCAATCTGAATGTATTTAAAGAGACACCATCAGCTCCAATCGTCTTTTTCAACCATTTCTTCAGAAACCGAATCCCCAAGGAATGACCAAGGCCTGCATCTCTGACACATCTCAATGACTTTAAAAGTGTGTTTGAAGTTATTTCTGTTGCTTTCCTTTACCGTTTCTTTCCTCAGACATTGTAGATATAAAACCAGCCAATATGGAGGAGCTGACGGAGGTGATAACAGCGGCCGAGTGTCACCCACACCAGTGTAACGCCTTTGTATACAGCAGTAGTAAAGGAACCATCCGCCTGTGTGACATGAGGGCCGCCGCACTCTGCGATAGACATAGCAAATGTGAGTATTTTAAGACAGTCCAGTCTATTTTTTCCCCTCTTTTTTCCCTTTTATACTCTTCCATCCCTTTATTTTCCATCAGATGGAGAGTCTGAACTCTCTACGTGGGAATGTTCCCTGACGCAGTGTCCTTTTCTCCTAAAACACGATCAGACTCTCTCACTAAAAGGCCGTGGAAAGTTCTCGTTTTGTCTGTTTTTGCCATCCGCTGTTTAATGTCAGCAGGGCCTTGTGTTATGTAATCCCTGGGTTATGTAATTAATCGAGCGCTCTGTTCTCAACTTGGACCTCACTCCAGACCAACAAAGCAAAAAAGCAAACTCTCGCCATTTACTTCCTGTCATATCCACTAGTTACAAAACGGAATGCAAGTGCATAAAACTGAAGCGTTTGGATGGAATTAATGGACTGTTAGCATTATATATCCAATTTATTCCTTTTGTTTTTGTTATTTTACTGTTAGTGTTATATATGCAATTCAATCCTTTATTATTGTTATTTTACCAAGTATTACATTCCAAACGATTCTTTACAAAAAGGAAATGTGACCGTATGATTTATTCTAGGATAAACATTTTGGCATTTGGCAGTCTGCTCTTGTTGATAGGGTTCATTTCTGGTCCATTGGTCACACTAGAAATGGGAAGATCAAGTCAAATGCATTGTGGGATATATACACGCACTACTGTTCAGAAGCTTGGGGTCAGATGTTTTTGATCGAAGGCACTTATGCTCACCCAGACTATTTATTTGCTTTATAAAAAAAAAACAGTATTATTGTGAACACCAGTTCACACCAGTCTTAAATGTCACATGATCCTTCAGAAATCATTGTAATATGCTGATTTGGGGCAAAAAAAAATTTCATATCAAAATTGAGAGGAACCCTCAGGGCATTTTGTAACATTATAATTGTCTTTTGCTGTCACTTTTGGGCAATTTAATGCAACTTTGAATAAAAGTATAAAAAAAAAAAAAAAAAAAAATCTTTTGAATGGTACTATTCATGTGCAGGATTTTAAATTTTTTACTCGAACAGCTATTAATGTTTCTGCTGCAAGTCTGAAATGTCATCAAAAATATTGTGTTTTTGTTCGTCCAAAGTTTTTGAGGAGCCAGAAGATCCCAGCAGCCGGTCGTTCTTCTCAGAAATCATCTCCTCCATATCTGACGTCAAGTTCAGCCACAGCGGTCGATACATGATGACCCGCGATTACCTCTCCGTTAAGGTTTGGGACCTGAATATGGAGAACCGGCCCGTAGAGACCTACCAGGTACAGTAGAGATCTTATTATTGCAACAGCTGACATTCCAGAGCTTGTGCTGTCATGTTTTCAGAACATGGTGTTTCACGTCTTCAATTAATACATTCTTCATTTACTGCCAGCACCTCCACAAAGTTTCACACGCTGCTTAAATGTAAATTTGCAAATGATATGATAACATTTCTTTTTGTTAGTTTTTGTTGCTGCTTCACATTTGTTGTGCTCCTCTGTTTTAGGTACACGAGTACCTACGTAGCAAGTTGTGCTCGCTCTACGAGAACGACTGCATTTTCGACAAGTTTGAGTGCTGTTGGAACGGTTCAGACAGGTGCGGAACCGTATTTAATAAGGGCGGATTCTGCGTTCATGCAGAATTTTACCCTCCCCCGTTCCAAGTACTTCTAAAATATATTTTTAAATTATAGTATATAGAGAGAAATTGTTTTACTTGTGCAGGAAAGATAAACATTCTGGCAAAATAATAAGAAATTCATATATAATTAATAATAGAATAAAAATAAGAATAAGAAAAACTATTGTATGTTATACCAGTGTTGGGAAGTTAAACATTCTGGCAAAATTATATGACATTAAATAGATAACAAAACACTTCTGACTGACACTTTTGACTGACATCGCGGGTCATCATGTATATATGGGTTTATTACTGGTTTGGTGTTGATGAAGTGGTTCTTGAACACAAATGATGTGATTGAAAGAATCACTGAATCGGGTTTTTGAACTGAATCAAAATAGTTGAAACCAATATTTTGAAAGAAGTACTCCTCCCTGTGAATCAGATTTTTGATCCTGCATCAAACAAATGCTTAATACTTAAGATACAAACAAAAAGATCTAAAAACTGTTTCCAACCTATTATGCAGGTACAAAAAGTAGCTTAAATGCATCACGATTTGCTTGAATGTAATTGAAAACGGTGGTGCAGAAATTCTCAAAAAAAAAATGTCAAAAGCCTGGTGAAACTGTTTGTAACCTATCGATTGCTACAAATTGACAACTAATCTTTTTTTCTTTTTTTTTCCCCTCATCTCATCGCCCCCTGCAATTACCTTCTCAGTGCCATTATGACGGGTTCCTACAACAATTTCTTTAGGATGTTTGACAGGAACACGCGCAGGGACATCACACTGGAGGCATCGAGGGAGAACAGTAAACCCCGTGCCATGCTCAAACCCCGCAAGGTCTGCACCGGCGGCAAACGGAAGAAAGACGAAATCAGCGTGGACAGCCTGGACTTCAACAAGAAGATCCTACACACCGCCTGGCACCCGAAAGAGAACGTCATAGCTGTGGCCGCCACCAACAACCTGTATATATTCCAGGACAAAATTAATTAAAAAAGAGAGAGAGAGTGATTTAAAAACTAAGAAGAAACAAAAATCAAGAAAAAGAAACTCTCCCCTCCTCCCCGTCATCCCGTCATCCCGTCATCCCCCCCCCACGCAGGTCGGAGGACGCTCAAGAAATCTCGTACTTTGCAATGATAAGCCTAGTCGTTAAATCTGTAAGAGAAATATGGCCTTGTTGTCAACCTGAAAAAGAAGCAAAGCACTTCACGTTAACCAGGAAGCTGAGAGACAGACTATATATTTTGGGAAAAAATCCCTCTCTGGGAGGGCGTCAATAATTCACGACGACCCCAAACCAAAATAAAAAACAAGGAAAGGCCGATATCAACCAACCCTCCAGCGACGGAACCGACACCAATCAGCATTAAGAGGCTAGATCCACTTCGCAAAAGTCATGCATTTATCCGTCTTTCGACTGAGCCTTACATTTTTATGATTTGACGACCAGAACTACGGAAACGCACCAGGATGAGTAACGTCTCGCTGTCAATCGTATGTACTCGCTGTTCGAAATTCAGGCCTTCATGAGCATTTGTTTAATGCCTGTTAACATTCCTTCCCCTGGCCCGACTCTCAGGCCTTCATGTTCTACCTTTTAAGCACTTAAAACAGGTCTCCATTTTGGTCAGTGGACAGTTTCGTTTCTTTTTTCCCGTTTCTTTCGGTTTTATTTTTGTTCTGTTTTTATTTTATACTTTTTTTCTTGTTTTCTCATGCATAATACTATCTACTCACTGACTGTATCTATATATTACACCATCTGGTGTCAAACCACTTAATAAAAGTAACATAACTACAAAGAGAAAGCGTTTTTACATTATGAGCAGGTATGTATGATTTTTACGTTCTATATTTGCATGTAATCTGCATATGTAGATCTGGAGCGCCAGTGGTTAAAATGTGAAATCATCCTGCTGAACCCAAATCTGCACCATTATTGGGGAATTCCATAAAAAAAATTTGAAATTTGACGATTGAAATGACTTTCAACGAAAACAAAATGGCCCGATTTTTGATTTTATGAACGCATAATTTGCTTGTATGTCGGACGAGTCTAAATAAGTCAGAAAATGCAATTCCCTAATAATGTTCCAGTTGGGAAGCAAATCTCCATATTGTACTACTTGAATTTGCAGTTGCACTGTTTGATTGAGGACATTGGCCATGAAAAGCATCAGTATTGCCGTCTGTTTCGCTTTAGAGTTTTCATTTTATGTTTTTTTTTTTTTCGTTTTTACTTCGTAAAGGGATTCTACCGCCTTAAGTCTGTCTGTATGTCCTATAATAATCCTCAACCGTTATCCTTGAGGACTAGATGATCTGGAAAACCCATTGCCCATACGTCGCCCAGCTACCTTCGACATGCATTTTTTATTTTAGCACTCCATTTGTCCGTTCATGTGCTGCTACGGTTTGTGCGGCTTAGTATTTGGACACTAATATACGAGATATCGTACAGTCGGTGACAACCATCGCAGAACACTCAAATCAAAACCGATGTGTTCAGTGCCTCTTGAGACAAAACTGGCTTTCCTCCAGTCAATCAAAGTTAACGGATCACATCCTGATGTCGAGATGCTCCTTGTGCACAAAAGAAACATACGTCGTGCGGAAGTTGATCTAAATGGATTTATCCAACGCTATCTCACGACCAATTCGTACGTATTTCACGAGGTGGCTAATTCTCTTGTACAATTTTGTACGATTTGTCTAGACCCCAGTGACGGGTAGGTTTAGGGGCGGGGTTAGGTGTAGGTCATTCGTACAAATTCATACGAATTGTGCAACTCGTAAAATACGTACGATTAAGCACAAATCATATGAATTTGTACGAGTGAGGTCGTACGAATTAGCCACCTCGTAAAATATGTACGAATTGCCGTGAAATCGGGCTGGATTTATCTCGCATCAGGATGCGGTTTAAAGAAACCGGTGACAACATACAGTTTGTGTGCTGCTGAATTTTGACATGCAGCTGCAAAACTGATGTCAAAATGACAAAAGTAACTTAATGGTTGACAAGTACAAAGTTGTTGTTATAGCTGATTGTGACGCTCTTTAAATCTGGGAACTGACAGGTCGGATACGTACTCACAGACCTTGTTCCTTGTTAAATGATGATAACATTGTGAAAGTGTACACTTGTTTGATTATTTTTGACCAAAGTTAAATAAAATTTTAATTGTGTTTATCTGAATCAACACACTGCCCAACACTTATTCAAATGATTTCAGGTGACCTTAGCAAATTTGGTTTTTGGAATGGAGAAGTAGCATATTGTTTATTGTGCAGTAAATACTGTTTATATATTGCCTTCTATAAAAGTATGTGACTATATGTAATGATAAACGTATAAAAAGTGTGGTTCAGTGGCACGTGAAGTCACAATGAATTGTGTGCAAGTATATATAACTACACTAAAGTTTTGGGGTAGGTAAGATTTTTGTTTTTGAAAAGTCTGTTTATTTGGCTGAGTTTGTTTGATCAAATATGGAGTAAAAGCAGTAATATTTTGAAATATTATTCCAATATAAAAGAACTAGTGCTGTCAAACGATTAATCGCGATTAATCGCATCCAAAATACGTTTTTGTTTACATAATTATACATGCGTGTACTTTGTATATTTATTATGTATAAATTAGAGCCCGACCGATATGTTTTTTTTTTAGGGGGCCGAAACCGATATTAGGGAGTAAAAAAGACCGATGCCGATATTATGTATATATATATATAATTATATATTTTTTGCAATGATAACTCAAATGTGGTGATCAAACACTTATAATGATGTGACAAACATAGGCCTATGTAGTGGAGGCAGGGTATTTAACAATTTAACAAACTTTATTATTCAAAATGAGTCTGACATCAGTGCACTTAACAGTAAACTTCACTTATTATAAATAACTTAACACAAATAGAGCATAATATATATAACTTGAATTAAGAAATTAAACAAGGTAACTGTGTAGGGCAAGCAAGCTACTGCCAAACCAACAGGGGCAGGTTTATGCAGGAAGCACAGCTTTTCCAAATGTAAACATCTAAAATGAATAAATAATAATAATCATATTTTTTTTCATAGACTATGTGTTGTATATTCTGGTAATCAAATGAACTTGCAGAGCATTCGTATTATATACACAAAAACTTTTATTTTGGATGCGATTAATAGTTTGACAGCACTAAAAAGAACTGTTTTCTATTTGAATATGTTCAAATTTAATTCCTGTGATTCAAAGCTGAATTTTAGACATTACTCCAGTCTTCAGTGTCACAAGATCCTTCAGAAATCATTCTAATATGCTGCTTTTGCTAATATGCTAATTTGCTGCTCAAGAAACATTTGTCAATGTTAAAAACGATTGTGCTGCATAATATTTTTGTGGAAACTGATTCATTTTTTCAGGATATTTTTTTAATGAATAGAATGTTCAAATTTCAAATAGAACTATTTTGTAACGTAAGTCTTTAATTTACTTTCAAAGAATATTTAAAAAAAAAAAACCTTACTGACCCCAAACTTGTAAATGGTAGTGTAAATGTAAGTTTCCTGTAATATGAAGACTGAATCCAAGAGAGATGTTACAGTTGGCAGACATTTATTTGTTGATACAAAACCACTATGAAATTGACACACACACTGAATACAATTTTTCTAGACTACACAACATGCACATATTAACACCATTTCCCTTATACTCCTGCCTGATTCATTAACAGTTTTATTTAAGGCAATCTCTGGGCTGAAACCCGGACCCTTCAGAAAAACGAAGAACATCTGTGATTGCAGTTCAGGTGAGGCAAACTTGATTCAGCAATTTCTCAGCTTATATAGGACGTTTATTAGTGTTTTCAATTGACATTCAGAAAAGTGTTGAAATGGTACTCAACTTTTTGGCTAGTATTTACTAAAGACCATTGCTTAATTGTATAATACTGTCAACAGCTTGATTTCCAAAGCAAAAGTCTGTTTTTGGTGTCTGAAACATCATAAATACAGAAACTACCTCAAGATACATAGACATGGTGACAAGGTAAAACAAGTCCTATATTGTTATATCATCAAATGTTGAGATATACCATAAGATATACATACAATCCCTGTTTTGATATGGGGTAGATAGTTAAATCTCTTCCCAATTCACAGTCTGCAGTTACACATACCACATCTCTGGAGATCCAGAACTTTAATTTCCCCCCTCTCATCCCTTATTTTATGATCCTCTCATAATATTCTCGGTAGTCTTGGTACGAGTAAATACAAAATTATGAGGATGCATTACATCTAATTCTATCCGGCATGTGCCCATTAGTCTAGCATTGCCTTCCCTGTGCTGATAGCCCTGGAATGGACTGGCATTATGGGAGAGGAACTATGGGAAAGGCCAGTGGAATACACAAGGGGGAAGCGAGGCAGAGCGGCCCACAGGCAGCGAGAGGAAATGTGTCACGTGACCTCGTCCTATCTGCGTCTACACAAGCACTGATTCACGACAAAGCAGCTGAGATGGTGGATGTGCGTATATGAGATTTGTCTTGTTTCTTGGCTTTTCCTGCTCCCTCAAAAGGTGCCAGAAGTAGTAATGCGCCTTCCGATGTACACCCTGAAAAGACAAAATTGTGGCATTGGTGGTCATTTTAGGATCTGTACTATAACATAATAACATGCATTTGATGCACTTTCAGCTTTCAACTTTCTCCTCCAGGTTGGTTTTTCCATTCTCGGCTGCGTAAATCAGTGGACTTGTTTTTGCGTCAGCAGAGCTGTGAGAGCCATCAGCGGAAAACTGCTAAGTCATGCTAACCCCTGTGGAGCGCTAGCATGCATTCCAGCACGCAGACCGCATCCACTGCTGACTCAAAAATAACCCTGGATTTGTCACTATAAAAGGATCCATATCTAGGATTTTAAAATCAATATTGATAAATATAATGCTTAAGATCAAACAATTACACAACAATCTTTGATTTTTGAATTTCTGATAAAAATGTGAAGTTGTGGGTGGCTGTTAGTTTATTGCTATGTGGTTGCTAGGGTGTGCCTGCGGTGCTTTGGGTGGTTGTTTATTGGCCCAAGTCAATAGAAACCACCCACAACTCCTTAAAATATTCTATTCCCTAGATATGGCTTGGCTTTTTTTTGTCTGACAGGCACAATTAATATGATCTGACCATGTAGTTATTTTACATGTCTATATAGTATATTTAGTAGTATATTAATATTTAGAATTTTGTATTTTTATATTTCCAATTTATTTCATTTTAGATTTTTTTGTAATTGTATGTACTTTTGTCATTTGTATTGTTTTGTCTTTTTATATAACTATTATATTTTACTTGTATATAATTTGTCATTTTTAGTTTAATTTAGTTAATTTTAGTCATAAATATTGCCATTAATTGAAATAAAATATAAAAAGTATTTTATTTCAGCTAGTTGCCATTTCTATTTTCATTTAAGGTTTAAGTACTAAAACTAAAAATGAAAACTTTATAATGTAGACATATTAAAACAAATTTTAAAAAACGAATAAAAGTGAATTATTACACAAGTTACCGGTTTGTTTGTTTAATTGACTCACCCGAGACCCACAGCAAGGATGTGCGAAAGGACAAGAGAGGGCAGGAAAACCTTGAGGAATTCTGCTGAGAAGATTCCTCCCTTCTTCATCACACCGGTGTTCCTCATGCTGAGGGTGCTGGAACGCTTCGGGTGTCTCAGCAGAAACTCCCTACAAACACATCATATACTGTATCATCTGCTTGATCTTACTCATTACTATGTGAAGATGCTTTTCATGCCAAGTTGGTTTATTAAGAGTATTAAACAGCATGTTTTCTCAAGGTTTAGGTACTTGGGCGGCAGGTTTTCCGGTCGACTCGACCAGTCCCAGATCCAGTCTGCATTTTTCTTCATCAGGATCTCCACCTCTTTTCTCCTCTCCAAATAGTCTTCCTCTGACTTAAACCAGACCACAACAAAATTAGACAAACTAACAGATGACTTTCATGTTTCTAGATGTTTATTTTATTGGCCATCTTATAAAGTCAGATAATTACATTGCTCTTAAGTGATCCCACACCTTTTGACCAATAAATATCCATGACTATTAAAAAAAAAATTAAGAAATTTTGGTCCCACCTGATTTTTGGTGTTTTTAAATACAATGTACTTATGAATTGTTGAGAGCAGTGCACTTATTGTGTTCATGCTGTATTGCAAAATACAGGTGGGATAAGGTTATGATTAAGGGTAGGGACAGGTTTTGTGGTATGGTGGGTTTAAGGGTGGGTCAACAGTGTAATATTAATTACATGCAGTTTTTTTTAAGATAAGGAAAATGTAAAAACATGTAAGTACACAGTAAGTGCATTGTATCAAATGAATCATTTAAATGTTAATACTAGGATGTTAAAAACTCTTAATAGTAAACAAATAAATAGGTAAATAAAGGTGGGTCCAAAATTTTAGAACCATAAAAAAATCCATATTTCCAATAGAATATTTCATGACTGTTTTTATTTTTATTTCAGGCCAGGAAACCACTATTTTAAATTTCCTTATAATTCTACATTTTTCTTGACCATGGAAACATCGAATCATTGAAATGTCAGTACTAAGTAGTTAAAGACACTTAAATAAAAAATCAGTTAATAATAAAAGTGGATTTGAAATATTTTAGAGCCATAAAAATACATATTTCATATTTAATCCTATTTCTAATTTTTTTTTTTCTTTATTATTAAATATAAATTTTACCTTTTCATATTCATTAACATGATTTTTTTCAGGGCTGAAAACCGCTATTTTATATTCCCTGATGATTCTACATTCCTTGACCATGGGAATCTTGAATCGTCCTTTATAAAGAATGTATCTAGTTACATGAAAGCAGTAGTACACCTGCTTTAGTGCAATTTAATGAAGTCAAGACAAGGTTATGTGTGCTGCTAATGTCTACCTGTGAGCTGTTCTTTTCTCCAGAGCTGTGGACCTCGGAGCCCCTGCGCAAGTGCGAAGGAGTCTGGGATCTTGGAGGACTGGTGAGAAAATTATAAGATTTATTATAACATGCTCATCCTATCAAATTAACGTCTTGTGTGCATCTCAGTGCAGTTCATGCACTAAATTAAAGTCTGCTGAAGTACTGACCTGTCACATGGCAGGCTTCCTCTTGAGCTGCTCCTGCCCGACTCGTGCTGAGCATCCAGCAGCATCTTCTCCAGGTCTCCGCTTGGGGCCGTGCTGGCAGACTGTTCCTCAGAACCTCCTTTAGGAGTGCTGCCACCTCCATTATTAAAATTCAGCTCCACCCAGGAACCTGCAGCAAAACCACATAACGTCTTTAGTGTTGCATGAAGCTTTAACTACAATTACTGTAGTTTTTAAGCCTCTTTTAGAAGTTCTTTATAATATAAATGTTCAAAATATATATATTTTAAAAGCCCAATGTCATAATTCTGACAATGCCATGGCAGCAGCATTATTTGTATTTATATATTTAAGTATGCAAAACACTGCTTGCAAATGTTTCTGTTTAGTACACTTAATCTTGTGCACTCCACACCCATTGTTGGCTTTCTTAAGAATCAATGTATTGCAAGCATCACATGTCATAACTTGTTTTGAATATTTTATCGACATGACATTGAAGGCTGGGCATGAATCAGTGATCATGACACAGCGACCAGAACATCCAGATAAACAGAGAACATGCCAGCACCTGAGACTCAAGCCAGTCAGAGGAAAATAAATACAGCTCTGGCTATAAATAGCTCATGATGTCAAATCATTTTTCACTCAACATCCAATGAAATCAGGCTGTAAACCCCACCTCTATGAAGCAGTGATGGAGACTCCTTTCTGTGAATCGGTTCTTTCAGACGGTTCATTTCAAAGAACCGGTTACACTGGTTTAGTGATTCTTTGCGCCATTCCGCGGTGACTATAAATTATTTTTTATTTTTTTGTGTACGTTATATTAATAAGGTTATTTCCATTTACAAAAAAAAAATCAACTAAACTATTTCGTGTTAAGTAAACCGCCACAAGTTTTCGAAATGTTTAAATTTTTGCTAGTTGGCAAAATACTGTCCAATCAAATCATTATATCTTCTCGGGTTATGAATCAGACACATCCGGAAAATATCAGATTCGGTTGTTAATTCGTCTTATTGCGATTCAGACATGGTAAAAAAAATAATAATAAAAGTGTTAAAGAGGCGGTTCTCTGTTCAGTGCGTCGTCGAGTTGCTGAATCGAGAACGGTTCAGTTCGATTCCTAAATGAATCATTCAAGAGATCAGGCTCTAAAGAATGATTCGTTCACAAATCGCACGTCTTGTTAGCTTCCATGTTTATTATTGCAGATCACATGCGTCATTACTGTGTTTTTTTGCACACACCTGCTTCTTCTTACCACATATTATGACGTTAGATATTAACAAGCCACATTTACTGAAATGAAACTGGAATTTGATGCATGGCATGAACGACCATCGTATAATTACGGACGTATACAAAAAAAAATACATTTTGCTATTATGAATGTGGTTTTGAGTAGAATCATGCATAAAAGAACATTAACTTGAGCTGTTTTGACATACCCTGAAGGTTTTCCTCGGACACACTTTGTTTTTCAATCGACATTTTAGCTCCCTTGACCGACAAAACAGCCCGCAGAGGATGATTCGCGTCCGTCTAAATCCTTATTCAGGAGTCGATAAGATACAGAAACGCAGTGTTATCCACGCGCTTGTTTGTCGATGAGAACGGCTCTGATATCTATATATTCTGCACGTCTAGTACAGTAAACAGCATGTGGTTTCATGTGACAGAAGTGGATCGGGATCTTTATTCCATGGATCCACACAGCTGGTGGTGACGCAACATGCGGCTGTGCTATGGATGGAAATATAGGGCGAACAGAATGACAACAATACTGGCACAAGGGATGCCAGATTGTGTGAATCCTCCTCAGAGTTGTTGCCAGGTTGTACAAATCCTCCTCAAGGTCAGTGGCCCAAACAAATGTTCACAACAGGTTTATTGTGTTTATTTTATTAGGCTTTCTGTTTATATTTGACATTTATTATTGTTTTTTTTTTAATTGTAAATTTGTCGTTTTAATTTGCTTTATTTTCTACTTGAACCTTTATGTTTTAGATTAGTTTGAGTGTTTTCGTTATATGTAGTTTTAGCATTTTAGGACTGCTAAAGTTAATGTGTTAACAGGTATAGGATTTAAATGTGTAATGTAATTTACATTATAATGTGTATATATATATATATATATATATATTTCTAATTATTGTTTTACTTTTTGTCTCAGTTAAAAGTGTGAAATGGACAGGAAAGTGTAATATGCTGACCGATATCTCTTTCCAGGTATTATAGGCCTGCTTGGATGATTTATTGCACTGCTTGCTCAACCAGTGACATGAAGCTGTCGGAACTACTACTTTGTCATAACTGCAGGTGGGAGGAATGTTTGGAAAATTTCTTTCAAAACAGTATTTTTTTTTTACAATTCTGTTTAGTGCCACTAGTGAGCTAGAAATGAAGCTCTGCTCTTTTGTTCTCCCGTCTTAGCTCTCCGTTGCCATTTCCAGGGCTGGAGGATAAATCACAGCACTACACTAGGAGGATGATGATGATGATGTTGTTCTGCAGTATTATTTAAGCCATGCACAATGATGCAGTTTCAATCAGCAACCATATGGAAGGAACAGCATGCTGTGTGAATCCTGAATCACTTCCAAATAAACAAGAGCTATGCAACGAGTGGAGTAACACAACCCACATGTATGTAGTTGGTTGTTATTTAATGCATAGGCTGGATGATGACGTGATGCTGTGGGACTGAGATGCAGTTGCAGTGCATTGACCAGCGGGCGGCTACAGTAGCTGTCTTTTCCTCTGTCTCTCCCACAAGGCAACCCAGGATAAAAGCCAGGCTTCACGCATCCCGCAGAACTGCCAGATCCTAGTGTGTATGCATGTGCACACGCCTGCACGTATGTGTGTGCGTGCCACCCTCCCCTCCTCCTTCCTGCCGGCATCATCCCTCGCTCTCCATCAGGGATGGTGAGGGAGTGTTTATGGTAAGTGTGAGGAATCAAATCTCTCTTGCTTCAAAATCTCTCCTCTAACATGCAGTAGCTCCCTCCCGTTCCTCCTTTTTTCATGTTATTCCCTCCTGGTGATCCGGCGTCTGTATTGCTGAGGATCCAGCTGTCTGCGCAGCCTGCAAGCGGCTCTGTTCTAAAGGGATTAAAGCATCTTCTGCATGGAATTCAGGGCATGACAACATGCATCCCTTGTCGTTTCAGAGCATGTGCTGCGAATCACACAGAATGATGGAGGACCAACAGCTCCCTGGATAAACCCTGCAGACTAAAACAACATCACAACTCAAATCATGCACTTAAGGTGAGTCTCAATCTTTATGCATTGAATTCCTTTCTAGCAGGGTGGCATCAAGCGTTCCATTACCATATAACGATCCCATTATCGTCCTGCTGGGATGTTTGACAGAGCTGTCAATGCGAGCCGGTGCAAAAAGGGAGATACTGATCAAATGGTGCTTGTAGCAGCTACAGCCTCGCTTGCGCAGGTTGGAATAACGTCCACAGGCTGGCGTCTGCCCACTGGGACGTTTGTTGCCATCTGCGATGCAAAGAGACTTGTCCTGCTTGACGTTTATTTTCTTCAAAAGCCTGGCAGAGAAACACTGCACAGGTTGCATTGGTTGTATTTATTATTCAAGCGAAGGATGACGAAATGTGCATCTTTTTTGAGCATGTGATCGGCAGCCTAAAGGAATGAACTCGTTGACTTCAGATGAGGGGGGTTTAGAAAGTGTTTTAGAGGAAGTTTTGGCATAAGCAACAAAATATGAATGCACATAGACAGATTTATGTTTTAAGCATTGGTTGTGATGCATATAATTGAAAGAAGGCATGGATATTGACTAGATGTCGCTTTCGAAACGAGTTTGTCTACAAACCGGTTGTATGATGTTGATGCACTTATAATAACATGAGAAATGTGAATGTTGTTTTAGCCTCTACAGTAGGTTGTTTTATATAATTGGAGAGGATGCAAATGATAGTAGCATATATTTTTTAAATAGACTAATCAATGATGATGAATATGCTTGCTTATACGCATATACTTTTGCACTAGGTCAGGAACCTGTAAATATCCGATAATGATTAAGATTTAGTGTTCTTTTAGTATCATTGATATACTGTTATAATTTTTGTAAATATTTGAATTAGATTTTATTTTTATATTTTCTGTTTTCACTTTAATTTCTTGATTTTGTTATGCATTTTTGTCTTTTTTTATTAGTTTTGTTTTTAAATGTTTATACAGTTTTGCATTTTAATGTATACATTTTTAATGAATTGAAACAAAAATGAATGAAAAAAAATAGTGTTTTATGTTTTATTTTATTTCAGCTCATGTTTATTTTATTTCAAGCAACAAAAATGTTTAGTCAACGAACCCTTTTAAGTTTTAAGAGCAGCTAGACATTTTTATCATTCATTTTAGAGCGTATTGCATAAAGTCTGCCGAGTCCCTGAAATTCACTGAGATTAGACGCTTCAAGTAATCTCACATCCAGAATTTTAAAGAAACAGTTCACTCAAAAAAATTAAAGATCTGTCATGCTCGCCGCTCATATAGCTCTCATATATGGGGTCTTCTGAACCCGTTATGATCTTTACAAAGCTTAGACTCAGTGTTGAATTATCATTAGACAATAGCAGATCTGTGTCCAGGAAACAGCTTGGGATATTTATTTAGCTTTGATAAGGCAATAAGAATTTAGTAAGAGATCCGGCTGAGGCGGACAGTAATTGAGCTGTACCCCAGAGCTGTCATCTATGTATGAAAAGTGCCGTTATCTTACTCAATGATCCACATAATGTGTTCAGTTCAACTGGGCAAAGCTGAAGGGTGTCTTTCATCGCTTCTAAAGTGAGATTATGTGAAAGAATGTAGTTAGAGATGCCTGCTTCAGTACAGGCTTGCTGTCAGTCTATCATACTTTAACAAGTACTACACAATTTGTGCACAGAAAATATATTTAAAAAATGTAATTGTTCAATTAAAAGGCTATAAGTACATTTTGAAACTGGTTGTTGGATTATTTCATTTACATTTCAAAATTGTAATCAATCTGGCCATTATGTCGTTTATATCTAGTTCTAATGCTTAATTGAAACACAATTTGATACTTGTTCAGGATGCTTATCTATTAAACTGCATTGTTTTTAGTAAGGTAAGATTTAGTACAGTTTTTAGTATTTTAGCATTTAGTAAGCTATAGTGCTTCTTCGAAAAACAACTGATATTTTTCTGTTTTTAAAATATAACAAATGTCAAAAGTGATTCAGACATAGCTGCGCCGCTATGTCTAGAATTGAGCCACAAAGTACAAAAGTATCCAAGGATTTGATGGGGACACTTGCAAAGTGCATCTCTGATGTGAGTACATGCTCAATAAAAATGTGATAAACTGAGTGCTTTCAAAGCAAATTAATTCATTAAAAATGCTTATACGTATATGTAATTGCTCTTTTGCAATTATAAAAGTGGTTTAAACTTACAGATGTTTTTCCTTTAATCTAGAGAGGTTAGAGATCTTTTCTGTCCTATTTTGTCCTTTTCCGATTATCTGTAATCTATAAGCCAGTTGGCATGTTGCTAGAGTCCTCTTAACTCTAGTCTGCTGAGAGAGCTGGAAAGATGTTTCTGTGGGGATTGGATGTGGATTTAGGATTTGTAATAGTGGTAAGCAGAGAACACCTTCCAGTTTCTCTTTCCAGAATCTAGACTGCTAAAACAGCAAGCGGGTCTTTTTAATAAATAAAAAGCGCTTTTTATTGCTCAAAGTTTGCTATTTCGTTGCTCAGTGGACTACAACAAATTTGTCTCAGATGTTTCTCCATGGAGGAAATAAAAAAACAAGACATACCTCAACTGTTGACATACTGCTTAGATCAGTTGATCAGAATACATTTGGATTTCAAACGTTTGTATCTTGGCAAATTGGAGCACATTGAGATCTCTTCTGAAACTATAGAGAAGATGTGAGGTTACTGTCTTTTTCTCACGAGAAAACAAATGAGAAGCAGGAGACTTTGGCTCCATTTGCTCTTCACTTAATTTCATTTCTGTCAATTGAGATGTGATTTGAGATCATTTATTGATTAAAGGGGTCATATGATGTTGCTAAAAAGAACATTATTTTGTGTATTTGGTGTAATGAAATGTGTTTATGCGGTTTAAGGTTCAAAAAACACATTATTTTCCACATACTGTACATTATTGTTTCTCCTCTATGCCCCGCCTTTCTGAAACGCGTC